TCCCAGAAACTACAACACCCAAATGACAAAATCAAATTATTTTTGAGTGAAGGACATACATTGGGTTGTTAGGTGTCTTGTGTCCAAATTTGGTGTCAATTCATTTGGTGGTTTTTGTGTTTTCTGTTAATCCCACAAACGAACATTACATTTTTATTTATATAGATTACTAATAATATTACAATATACTGGTATAGTACAATATAGTAATATATAATACTGATATTGTACTATGCTAATAATATAATATAGTATGTGTGTGTAGTGTAGTGTATATATATATCTTGTAAATCGCTCTGCATCCCCTTTGGGGTGTGAAGGGCGGCATATAAATATTGTAAATTTAATAAATAAATAGTGGGCTCCCAGGGATGGATACCTATCTGATCGCATCTCTGCCTATGAACCCACCAGGACTTTGAGAACTTCCGGGGAGGCCCTGCTCTCGATCCCGCCTGCTTCTCAAGCATGGCTGGCGGGGACGAGAGATAGGGCCTTCTCGGTGGTGGCTCCTCGGCTGTGGAACACCCTTCCCACGGACATTAGGCTAGCACCATCTCTAATGGTATTCCGCAAAAAACTGAAGACCTGGCTGTTTGTGCAGGTGTTCGAATAACTAGTGCAATGATTGGCAATGAACATAGGAATGGAACAATGGATGATGAATTCTGGATTATGTTTTTGGATGATGAGACGATTGTGATTGGGTAATGTATTAATTGTTTATTGTTTGGGTAATATGTTAATTTGTTAATTGTTGTTACATTATTGCATTGAATTATTGCTGTTTTTATTGGTTGCGAACCGCTGTGAGTCGCCCTCGGGCTGAGAACAGCGGTATATAAGTAAAGTAAAGTAAAGTAAAGTAAAGTAAAGTAAATAAATAAATCACTGGCCCCAGAACAATGTGTTTGTAAGGCCTTCCCACAAAGGGGAAGGATGTAGAGGAGGAAAACTAAAATTAGGAGAGTGATTCACCAGGGAAGACAAGAATAGTTGGAGCTTGTATTATTGGGGTCAATAATCCCTCTGACTTTACAACCCTAGGCAAAAGAAAGAAAGAAAGAACAGAGAGTTCAATCAACCCCCTAGCAAGCAATGATCCTGCTTTAAGGCTTATATCTGCCTTGCCTGGGCATAGTTTATGTGTTTTTAGCAGTATTTCATGTGTTCCCATTTCAGCATTTGGTGACCTCAATTCGCCTTGGAGGCCAGTCAACTTTTCCTATAGGAAGCCATATAAATAAACCAATGAATGAAATAACTACACTGTTTAATTTATCCTCACTACATCACTTTCTCTTTCGTAGATTAAAAAGGTTCTAACTTGGAGGGCTATTTTAATCCCATCAGCCGTGGCTAAATCAATCCCAGGAATGACATTTTCCCTCTCTCCCCATTTCCCATATTCCCAGAAAGAAATATATTACAATACGTCAAATTGTTCCCAAAACACAGGTCTGGGCATTGAGCTTGTGAGATGTTTGGCAAAATATATTATTGTTTAATAAATATATGTTGATTCCATCCCTTCTCCGAGGAGGCATGTGCAGCAGGGTGTATATCTCCCCTGGAAAAAAAAGACATATATTGAATACTCCGTGAGACAAAGTAATCAGAGAGAGAAGACTCTTCATGGCTGAGCTGGGATTTGAGCAGGGATCTTCTCTATTTTTGTTTGACACATTGTCCAATCTCCTGCACCACACAGGATCAGAAATAAATAGACATAAAAGCTCAGAGGAAAAAGTGTTGTGATATGGAAGAGTGAGACTGACGCTTAGAAAAAGTTTCCCTTTTTGTGTGTGTGCAGGTGAAAAGAACAACTCTCTGAAAGCATCTGCATTAAAGTCCAAAAACAAAACTTTTCCAATTCCTGGATAAAACCCCAGAGGCATGCACTTAATTTTACAAATGCAATCATTTGTTTAAGATGTTGGACTTTACTGCAGGGATCCTTTTGCTGACATACACATGCAGAAATTGTGTATGCCTTCACACCACTTGTCAACTTAAGCAACCCTATGAAATTTATAGCGTTTTCTTAGGCAAAGGATACTCAGAGGTGGTGTTGCCACCCCCTTCCTCTGAAATATAGTCCACAACACCAGATATTCATTGGTTGCCTCACAGGATTGACCCTGCTTAGCTTCCAAGAGCAGATTCTGGTGTGCCCAAGATATTTAGGTCTCCAAGTTGAAGTCAAAGACATGTATGCCTTGTTGTGGATGAGGCACAAGGAGAACGTTGTGGTAAACCTGCAACCTTTAACCCTTGCCCTGTGCAATTTTTGAGTCTTCCCAACAGCAATTGTGAAGTCTTTTTGGAGACACTGCTATACTTACTTACTTAGGTGATCCCTCATTATCCAAGTATGATGACCTTCCAAGTGTAATGTCTTGGTGGTCAGTCCGGAGGTGACGGTGGAGCTCTATTCTTGATCCGCATGTTCTTCCACAGTGAGGATCAAGAATAGAGCTCCACCGTCACCTCCGGACTGACCACCAAGGCATTACACTTGGAAGGTCATCATACTTGGACAATGAGGGATCGCCTAAGTAAGTAAGTTTCCAGGTGGACAGCGGTCCCGGTCAGGCTTGGCTTGATGCACCTTCCTCTTGGCATGTTTCTCCCTTCTGCCCTCCATTCGTACCTCTTCAAATTCCGCAGCACTGCTGGTCACAGCTCACCTCCCATTAGAGCCCTCAAGGGCCAGGGCTTCCCAGTTCTTGGTGTCTATGCTACAGTTTTTAAGGTTGGCTTTGAGCCCATCTTTAAATCTCTTTTCCTGCCCACCAACATTACATTTTCTGTTCTTGAGTTGGGAGTATAGTACCTGCTTTTGGAGATGGTGATCAGGCATTTGGACAATGTGGCCAGTCCAGCGGAGTCGATGGCATAGGAGCATCACTTCAATGCTGCTGGTCTTTGCTTCTTCCAGCACACAAACATTTGTCCACCTGGGTTGTTGTAGGTTTTTTCGGGCTATATGGCCATGTTCTAGAGGCATTCTCTCCTAACGTTTTGCCTGCATCTATGGCAAGCATCATCAGAGGTAGTGAGGTCTGTTGGAACTAGGAAAATGTGTTTATATATCTGTGGAATGACCAGGGTGGGACAAAGAACTCTTGTCTGCTAGAGCTAGGTGTGAATGTTTCAACTGACCACCTTGATAGGTATCTGTCCACCTGTCTTCCAAAGAAATTTGCAAGATTTTTCAGAGGCAATGCTGATGGAATCATTCCAGGGGTTGACTATGGCTTTTGTAGATAGTCTACATTTTGCAGTCATATGACAGGGTTGGGAGGACAATAGCTTTATAAACAAGCAGCTTGGTCTCCCTATGGATGTCCCAGTCCTCAAACACTCTCTGCTTCATTCAGTAAAATGCTGAACTCGCAGAGCTCAGGTGGTGTTGTATTTCAGTGTCAATGTTGACTTTTGTAGAGAGGTAGCTGCCAAGGTAGTGGAAATGGTCAACATTTTCTAATGTTACACCATTAAGCTGTATTTCTGGCATTGCAGACAGATTGGCTGGTGCTCTGAAAGAGCACTTTGGTTTTCTCGATGTTCAATGAGAGATGTCGTTGACACTGCTAGAGTTCCTAAGTGTCTGTGAAATGGGAAGGGAGGTGATTGAGCAACCAAGATTATGCATTCAAAAAAAATGAGGCTTTGAGGAAGTAGGTTTGTATTCCTTTCTCCAGAGAACTAAAGTCCATGTTGTATGCAACCCGTTTGTTTGATTATCCCCTTACCCTGAGAATTGAATGGCTGCATCAGCCCCACAAGGATCGGCATCTGCCAAGGAAAGGAACACAGGTCTATGCACATGGAGCATTGCCTTCCCCATACCTGATGCAAGATCTTGACCAATGGATTTATGCACCAACAGCCTCTTCAGGGCATCATGTTTCAAACAGTTGTGGTAGTGGTGTGGGGGGGGGGTCTTTCCGTGGTGATTTGTTGACTTCACTTCCTTCAAAATCTGGTAGTCTGGCTCTGTTGTTATTTTGGAGATGTTCTCACTTGTTCTGCTGCATGGGTTCCAGATGTCTCCTACCTAGATTGGACCTGCTTGCAAAGTTGCCATGGGCATTTCTCTTATGGAACATTTATGTTTTTGGGTTGTTGTGTGTTTTCAGGGCTGTATGGCCACGTTCCAGAAGCATTCTCTCCTGACGTGTTTATGTTTTTTATCCCTAGCTGCATGAACACATACAATGAGAATCATGAGACAGTTCCCTGTATAGCCCATGACCCACAAAGTCATATGTTACTTGGGTCCAAGACCTCTGAAAGGTCTCCTCCTTTCCTCTGAACCTGTCCAAAATTTCAGATGTTCAAAGGAGGCCTCGCTAGTTGTCTGTCATGACACCTTGTTAAATTATTTGCTTTTTAGTTATCTATTGTTTTTTTAATATGGGTTTTTCCTTGTCTTGAGCCTTGAATCATAGAATCATAGAGTTGGAAGAGACCTCATGGGCTATCCAGGCCAAACCCCTGCCAAAAAGCAGGAAAATTGCATTCAATCACCCCCGACAGATGGCCATCCAGCCTCTGTTTAAAAGCTTTCAAAGAAGGAGCCTCCAACACACTCCTTTGCAGAGAGTTCCACTGCTGAATGGCTCTTACAGTCAGGAAGTTCTTCCTTAGGGAGAGTTTGATAAGAAAAGAAAATAATCATCTTCATCATGTTAGCTTCCTCTTGAAAGTGAGCAACGTGCATTTAAAAGAATGACATAGGTAAAAACTTACAAAAGGTGAACATTAAAATGGAATTAAACTTCCCACAATATGAAAACATGTCAAATCTCTTGCTGAAAGCTACTTTCCTTAAATAATATACACCCTCTCTTTAACTAACATACCCCATTATATTTCAGCAAGATGAAAGCATTCCCATTTCAAAGAGAACTCAGGGCGCAATGAGCCAAGCAAACATCGTACTTTCATCGCGTGTCTAACCGTGTTCCTCTGTTTTTGCTGTTTCCAACCAGGCCTTGACGACTGCCTGCAACAATACATTAAAAACTTTGAGAGAGAGAAGATCAATGGAGAGCAGTTGCTGCACATCACTCATCAGGAGCTGGAAGAGTTGGGAGTCACCCGAATCGGCCACCAAGAGCTCATCCTGGAAGCGGTGGATCTCCTGTGTGCTTTGGTAAGAGCGCTTCTTTCTACAGGTTCACTCTACTCACTCATCTTTGCATGTCTTTCTACCCACAATAGGCTGAAAGCATGAGATCATTTCGTAAATGGTCCTCATTTCATCATTCTTTCTGAATGCGTGTGGATGCATAGATGGATAGATAGATGGATGGATAGATAGATGGATGGATAGATAGATAGATAGATAGATAGATAGATAGATAGATAGTCAGTCTGACTTGGCCACGGTAATCCATGCTCTGGTTATATCCCGTATAGATTACTGCAATGCACTCTACATGGCGTTGCCTTTGAAGACTGTCCAGAAGCTTCAAATGGTCCAACGAATGGCAGCAAGATTGCTAACAGGAGTGGCGTTCAGGGAGCATACAACTCCTCTGTTGCACCAGCTCCACTGGCTGCCAGTCTGCTACTGGGCACAATTCAAAGTGCTGGGTTTAGCCTATAAAGTCCTAAACGGTTCTGGCCCAACTTACATGTCCTAAACGCATCTCCCCTTATGAACTATCTAGGACCTTAAGATTGTCTGGGGAGGCCCTGCTCTCGTTACCGCCTTTGATACAAGTACGTTTGGCAGAGACGAGAGACAGGGCCTTCTCGGTGGTGGCCCCTCGGCTGTGGAATGCCCTCCCTATAGATATTAGATTGGCCACCTCCCTTTTAACATTCTGGAAAAAAGTCAAGACGTGGCTTTTTGAACAAGTGTTTGCAAATGCAGAGTAACTGACACAGGAAAATGGAACGACTAGACAATGAGTCCGGACAATGTTTTTAACAAGGAGACACTATGAATTTATATTTTATTAATTTGTTTAGTTTTTATTATATGTTATGTTTTTAATTGTATCTATGACATTGTAAGCATTGCATTTTGACCTGTTAACTGCCTTGAGTTGCCTATGGGCTGAGAAAGGCAGTATACAAATACAGTGAATAGATAGACTTCCAGCTGGTACAATTCGATGCCTCCATGTGTGCATAATAAAATATATAATAAAACCAATAATTGCATACAGTTAAAAACATTAAATCAATTCAATTAAGCATATGTTTAAATATAACAGCCTTATGGCCTTATCTAGCCAAATTCTGTGATTGGAGACTCCATCACAGCTTGTCCATAGACCATTACCATAGCTATTGACATCATTATCATTGTCCTTGTCAGCATAGTTACTCGAAGGCCTGGTCCCACATCCACGTTTTCAACTTCTTTCTGCATTTATTATTTACTGCATTTATTATTTTACTCCATGTATTATTATTATTATTATTATTATTAAATTTAATATTTTACTTTCTTATTATTACATTTATTATTTTACTCTCTTATTATTGGAAGGATACGAAAGCATATTTACATTGAGGAAGGTTAGAATAATGGTTTAATCAGAGTTGGACAGTTTAATCTAAAATTACAGTTTTATGTAAATATTCAAAAACATCCTACTGATGCCTCAATTAATGTAATTTTATTGGTATCTATTTTTATTTTGAAACTAGCTGTCCCCTGCCACACATTGCTGTGGTCCACATGGGGGTTCTGTGTGGGAGGTTTGGCCCAAGTCTATCATTGGTGGCGTTCAGAATGCTCTGTGATTGTAGGTGAACTATAAATCCCAGCAACTACAACTCCCAAATGTCAAGGTTCTATTTCCCCCAAACACCAGCAGTATTCACATTTGGGCATATTGAGTATTCATGTAGAGATTGGTGCAGATCCATCATCTCTGGATGTAGGTGAACTACAAATCCAAAACCAAAGGACTCTGCCCACCAAACCCTTCCAGTATTTTCTGTCGGTCATGGGAGAACTGCGTGCCAAGTTTGGTTCAATTCCATCGTTGGTAGGGTTCAGAATGCTCTTTGATTGTAGGTGAACTATGAATCCCAGCAACTACAACTCCCAAATGACAAAATCAATTTTTTTTGAGTGAAGACATACGTTGGGTTGTTAGTTGTCTTGTGTCCAAATTTGGTGTCAATTCATCCAGTGGTTTTTGAGTTCTGTTAATCCCACAAATGAATATTACATTTTTATTTATATAGACTACCCGTCCCCTGCCACGCGTTGCTGTGGCCCAGTCTAGTGATCTGGAAAATAAAGTAATGCGAAAGTGTTAGTTTTTAATGTATGTAAATTCTTTATACTTGTGGGTTTTCTTGCCCTGGTGAAGGGAGTTGGACTGGATGGCCATAAGTATTTTCTGTTGGTCATGGGGGTTCTTTGTGGGATTTTTGCCCCAATTCTATCGCTTGTGGGGTTCAGAATGCTCTTTGATGGTAGGTGAACTATAAATCCCAGTAACTACAACTTCCAAATGTCAAGGTCTATTTCCCCCAAACTCCATCTATGATCCTAGTTGGGCATATGGAATATTTGTGCCAAGTTTGGTCCAGATCCATCATTCTTTGAGTCCACAGTGCTCTTTGGATATAGGTTTACTACAACTCCCAAATTCAAGGTTAATGCCCACCAAACCCTTCTAGTATTTTCTGTTGGTCATGGGAGTCCAGTATGTCCTATTTGGTTCAATTCTATCATGCTCTTTGATTGTAGGTGAATTATAAATCCCAGCAACTACAACTCCCAAATGACAAAATCAGTGAAGGACATACATTGGGTTGTTGGGTGTCTTGTGTCCAAATTTGGTGTCAACTCATCCAGTGGTTTTTGAGTTTTGTTAATCCCACAAACAAATATTGCATTTTTATTTATATAGATTTACCAGTAGCTGCTGCATTTCCCACCCTCAGCTTATAATCGATTCAATAGGTTTTCCCAGGTTTTTGTGGTAAAATTAGGTACTTTGGTTTATATTTGAGTTGGCTTATACTCAAGTATATATGGTAGTTTTACAAGAATGATCTGACCAATGTCTTATTGCTATGTGTTGTTGGCATTTTGTCTACAGTTCCATTTGACAAGTCTTGCTGCTCTTGAAAGGCCTTGTCTGCGAAGGTGTGATATAAACATAATAGGGAATTGCTCTCCTCTCAAAAGGAATTTGACCCTATTCTGCTCCTTCCTGGAATTTCCTTAGTACTTAATGGAACCGAGGGGCACGAAAAGGTCTAGATGTAATACACGAATCGTAAATGAGAGACAAATATTGAACTGAAAAGGCTGCCCTCCAATCTCAGAATATTTGGCTTTCATTGATACAGAAATAAAGAGATAGCAAGTCCTTGGAAAATGGTCCAATTTTGTGCCTCTGACATCATTTTGACAGCTACTCCATCACCCTTATAGATCGAGGTGCATCAGAAAGACATTGCTTTTCTTATACAATATATATCTTTGGTGAAATTGTAAAGGTCTTGCCTGTTCAAGCTATCTCCCCGCGTTTCTTTAGTTTTTCTATAGAGGTGCAGAAGTGTGTGTATGTGTCTGTAAGACAGGAAGGAGGATTATCAAAGCAAAAAGAACATCTTACAGATTTTTTTTCCCCCTGACCTACAAAAGAGGACGGATAACATGTCAGAAAATGTATTTCTTATACTGATTGCCTCTTGTAGCAAGTTAAAAGCAGATATTTGAGGAACAAGATGAGCCAACCGAGCAGAAAAACAGCTCTTAGAACTGGCTTTGATTCCTTTGAATAGCATCTACGGTGTCTTTCCCTTTCCCTAACCTTTCTGGAAAGAGGGCCAAAATCCTCGTCTTTACCGGGAGGAGAGAATTTTACCTCCTTTCTGTTCTTTCATAGTTTGCCTTTGACTCTTACCCCCTGCCTGAGAGAAACCGCGAGACAGTATTTGTGGGCAAAGGGTCACCGCTTCATTAAACGCAACAGCCATCGTCTGCAATGGGCAGAAATGGGCAAGAGCCAAAAGTAGGCAGCAAGCCAAAATTCAGGATGTTGCGTTGGCCTGAGGACATTATCACATTGGTGTATACCATACTCTGTTTATATCCGTAGCGCATCCCACATATTTTTAGGGCTGGATACATACTTCATTGAAATGGGATGCATACTCTTCTCATCAAAAATCCAGGTACGCTACATCCACGACATTCCCCGCATCTACAAGCTGGATAGATACGAGGAATGCCGTGGATGTAGCGTACCTGGATTTCAGTAAGGCCTTCGGTAAGGTCCCTCATGACCTTCTGGCAAACAAACTAGTCCAATGTGGACTAAGCAAAACTACAGTGAGGTGGCTCTGTAATTGGTTAAATGGACGAACCCAGAGAGTGATTCTCCCCAGTGCTTCCTCGTCATCCTGGAAAGAAGTGACGAGCGGAGTGCCATCAGCAGGGTTCCGTCCTGGACCCGGTCCTGTTCAACATCTTTATTAATGACTTAGATGAAGGGTTAGAAGGCAGGATCATCAAGTTTGCAGACGACACCAAATTGGGAGGGATAGCCAATACTCCAGAGGACAGGAGCAGAATTCAAAACAATCTTGACAGATTAGAGAGATGGGCCAAAACTAACAAAATGAAGTTCAACAGTGACAAATGCAAGATACTCCACTTTGGCAGGAAAAACGAAATGCAAAGATACAGAATGGGGGACAATGCCTGGCTCGAGAGCAGTACGTGTGAGAAAGATCTTGGAGTCCTCGTGGACAACAAGTTAAACATGAGCCAACAATGTGATGTGGCAGCAAAAAAAGCCAATGGGATTTTGGCCTGCATCAATAGGAGCAGAGTGTCTAGATCTAGGGAAGTAATGCTACCCCTCTATTCCACTTTGGTTAGACCACACCTGGAATATTGTGTCCAATTCTGGGCACCACAATTCAAGAGAGATATTGACAAGCTGGAATGTGTCCAGAGGAGGGCGACTAAAATGATCAAGGGTCTGGAGAACAAGCCCTATGAGGAGCGGCTTAAGGAGCTGGGCATGTTTAGCCTGAAAAAGAGAAGGCTGAGAGGAGATATGATAGCCATGTATAAATATGTGAGAGGAAGCCACAGGGAGGAGGGAGCAAGCTTGTTTTCTGCTTCCTTGGAGACTAGGACGTGAAACAATGGCTTCAAAC